GATCCCAGGGTATTCGGACTGTTATCTTTCCAACAAGCACGATTAAATCAGTCTAGTATCAAACATGGTTAATAATCATATCAGATGTCCCTTCGGTATCTTTCGCCTCTCTTTATCAGATAACATTTACTCGTCTGAACTTTGTATGTGTTTATTGCCATTTGATGTAAAACAGCCACCCATCCATATGATACGCGTTATTTAGCTCGTGACATAAATGGTTCGTAAATCACGTATTGGCTGCTGTTTTAATTATGAACTATAAAAACCGTGCTAAGATACTCTTTCAAGTTAATGGAAAGATCGTTTTTGGGAAAAGGCAGTCATCTTTTGTGTTTCAAAGTTTTGTTCCCAATCCTTTTATGCCGCATTTGCTTGTAAAGATGCACAATATACTGTCAAATATTTGTGGTAAAAAATAAAAAAATGACCAGAGGGAGGTAAAAATATTCTTGACACAACCGAAATGAAAAAAAAACCAAAACAGACGGCATCAGAATATGCAAAAAGAATTCAGTTAGAGGTTAGTTATGGCATACTGCATACTGCAAATTAAAAATAAGTTCAAGGTTTCATTCTAAACTGGCATTTATTACTAAAGACGCTTTGATATCGCCTGACTCTCTTCTATTTTTACATCGTTTATAAAGGTCGAATACATTTCACGATTAAACTTTTATGGGATTTTTGCTAGATCCAAAATGCATAGCATATCGGCACAGAAACAAAAATACATGCATAAAGGAAACAGTAGTATACCGCTGTTCAAAATTCACAATTTGATTAAGCAAAAACAAATCCGGGTAACAAACTAAAACCCAGGGAAACAACGGAACAACAGTAACACTGAACTGCAACAAAAGCAAACACCAACATAAATAGAAACGGATTGTCATACAAGAGAAGTATTTAAAAGCCGTAAAATCGTTTTAATCTGCCAAAATGTTACTGTAATATATAGAGACCTAGTAAGATATCCGACAGTAATTCTCTTGTTGTTCCAATGGAAATTATCTTTAACAGATAATTCCTAGAATTGGTTAGTATATACTAAAATTAGATTTGAACGCGCGTCTACCGTACGAGATTATAATCATCTAATCCCTGATGGTTAAGGATGTTCGCTACTCTGTTTCAAAATAACAAGATTTTTAAAAGACTGTTATAAATTGATAATTTATAAATAAAAGAACTAAAAAAGCAGAACAAAATGAAGGATCTGTGTGCTTGTTTTCGAGATATAAGCCATCGAAAATTTGGCGGGAAATTATTCTCTCTAGATTTTTTCTACATTTAACATTGGCACCTGTTTTCTTTCTAAAACTATGAAAAAATAATAAGGATTTTTTTCATATTTTCAAATATGGCTTTTTAAACTATATGTATTAAAATTATGAGAAGAAAAGTGGGGGTTAGCAGGCAAATTTTTTTAATGGCACTACATGGATAAAACCAGAGGATTCCGAACATCTGGCATAAATTCAAAAACAAGAGGAGCGACCATCCTTAATAAAGTTAATTTTGTGGATATGTCTATAATACACATTAGTATTCCACTTTTATTCCGGAATTCACACTAACAGTGTTTCTGAAGGGTAAGTTGTGCATTTAGCACAAAAATGTATTTAATCTGCTTCACGTTGAATTGGAAAGATTATGCTTTTCCCCAACATCGAAACTTTTCTAATTATAGTACAAGTATACAAGCTATAAACACTCCTTTACAAGTAATCTTTTATGGAACGCCTGCGATAGTAGTTCTACCCGCTTGCGATAGTAGAATGACATTATGTTTCCAGGTTTGTTGGTCCGTCTGTTCGTCTGTTCGTCAGTTCATCTCGTCGTCTGTTCGTTCGTTCGTCTGTCCGTGAAACATCAGTTTGAATTTTTTGGTTAGTTAAGCATGACGTTGTAATCACAGAAACCTGATACGAAGTTCATTATGATGTGAACTTTTATAATTGATGCCAAAAAAAAAAACGGTTTCCCCCCTATTTCATGGTTCACTGAACATATGAAATAAGTACATTATCATGTTAACATTTTTTCGCAAAGTGGATTTACTATAACGTTGTAGTCACATCATTTTGAAACTTTCTACATATGTTCATTATGATTTGATCTACCCTATATATATGTATATATACGAAATTAAGGGATTGACCACATTTTCACACACAGTTCACTGAACAAAGAACTAGTAAGAGTGCAAATGGGGTATAGTGTCATATGGACACACATTCTTATATTCAACTAATTTTTAAACCTTAAATGTGGAGATTTTATTTTCCCTGTGTAGAAAAAAAAGTTTTTAGTTTCTGCTCAAAAGAACCTTATGTATTCCCATACTTACTTAATAACAATATATTGTGTTGTTCAATTTTCTGTTGTCATTCCAGAAAAGAAAATGATTGTGCCCTAACAATATGCTTTTTCACAAACGGAAGAGAAAAGATACATTTGTAATAAGAATGCATAAGAAAAATTGCCCATTTATCGATTGTTATCTTCAAAGTTAAGCATTCAAAAATTTAAGATTTAAATGGAAAGAAATTCGTTCCAAGAAAAAATGAGTAAAAAACAATATATACTAAATTTTACAAAAAAACAGGAAGATTTTGAACATGTGCTGGAGATTAACTTGTAATTACGACAAACTTAGGAGTGGTCATATTGCTCTGCACTTCCAAAACATTTAGAAAAGGAAATAAAATAATTTTATCTATCAATCATCAGTTAAGCAATAATCAAAAGCATTTTATTAACAAAGAGCAGGAAAAAGGAAACATTTCTAGCGGAAAAACAATATCTTTATATAGAATACAAGAAATAGGTTTAGGTCGATGAGTTTTTTTTACTTAAGGAAAAAAGGCCGTAGTCAAATTTTGAAAAACGGTTGGATTTTAAATGTTCATTATTTGTTTACAGCTGCTTTGATTCGAGCGGAAATAATGAGTTTTATGTAGACGAAATGCTTTTCTGGCGTATTCAATAATTAAAATGATATATTTGAAAGTTATTTAATCGATTATTTTCATTTTTAAATATTGGCTGGTTTATTTCAAATATATTTAAGTTTGTTGTATAATGTCTGGATTTCAAAATGTTTTGTGATTCAAAATATATCATTCTTTTACATCTTAAATCGCCTTCGTGGTATACAGGTAACATGAAGGTATGCCAGACCAAATACTTAGACCTGGTACTTGTTACTTCTCCACTTTGCTTAAATCATGAAGTATGTAGCAATTAGAGAAAGGTCTAAAATTGTTTGCTTTAACAAAATGTGTTTTGTTGTTTGATATGTCTCTTTTTAGACATTAACTTTGTTAACAAGAATTTGAAAAGTTTGAGTTATCAATAACATTTAATATCATAAAACATAAAGGTATAAATAATGTCAATCAAAGTCATCGCGAACATTTTTGCCCTCGGGGTATTCAAACTTATAATTAAATTCAATACGAATGCCGAAGTCTAGTATGAAATGTATATAAAAGACTAAAACAAGAGCAATCGATTGATATCAGAGAAAGTGCAAATAGAATGAATGGACAAAATTGATCGCCAATGGCTAATCAGTTAGGGCAAGTAGTTTCTCGTGATAAAATGTATGGTATTGACCCTCATTGTTAAATGCTGCCCAAATGTCTGCAGTGTAGAATAAGTTTAAAACTCTTTTTAGATGGGCATTGGGTTTCACTTTCAAAATTGCGTTTAAAACAGTATTCACCCATATATGCTTGTATATGACTAAAAATTTTACCCACAGTAGGTTTTGCCATATTGACTTTAGTTTTGTTATAAACAATATGTGTTCATTGGATGCACCAAGGGCGTGTAGTGATATGAATAATCTTACTGTTGTATATTAAAACTTTCTACTTGAACATTATATCACTTAAGGATAAATTATCTATCATCTGTAGAAATACATACAACTATATGCACAGAGACAACAAAGATTATTCAGGTATGTGTTTAATGTCAAATACGATTTCATTGGTTAATCATATATAGATATAACGTATTAAGACAATGATTGATAATTTCTTGACCTTACTGAGATAGTCATAATTTAGTTTTTTTCTCGAAATATATTATAAAAGAGCCATTCTCTATAAGAAAAATAAGAAAGAATATCCGGAATTTCCGAATTGATCAGTATTTTACCCGACTTTGAGCACTGATAGGTATTTCGTTGAGATAAGTTTTTATTGGTAAAGGAAGCCCGAGTGCCCGGAGAGAACCACCCACCTGCGACAGGAAAACTGACGATCGAAGTCAATTAAGATTGGAGTCGAACGCACCTGCCACGTGCGGAGCTCGAATTTACAACCTCAGTGTTGACAAACTAGTGATACATACGTTGAACTACTTTAACAACTCGGTCAATGAGGCCCTCCGAATTTCAAGATGGTGTATAGAAAGTCTAGTTCGCCGACTGGTCTATGGCAAAGGTTGTGTTGCCATACTTTCATGGAAGCAGATGTTCAAATCCAGCGTGCTTACTTCGAGCTTGGGAATCGTGGATTCAATCACCGCCTGCTCAGACCTGAACTTTGTTGTAGCTCCTACGCTAGAAACGCGGCAATTATGAGTAAGAGCAAAGATGTGTCGGCTCAGAGTCAGAGTAATGGGTAGCGGAATGATATTATGTCTTTCTGAGAACAGTTGTGAACTTTCATCTTGTGAACTAGCACGTAAAATATCTAGCTTAGCATCGGTGTCTATCGTAAATCAGGTACTTATTTAATTAACATTTACAGGTTCTTGTCCTTGATAGACATTTGATACTTTCTACTGACGTTTTACACAAAATCATCATTGTGTGTTTCATGTACAAAAATAACAATTTTGCATTCGCTAACAATATATGAATTGTAACTTTGATTTAAGGCAAATATCATACCCCATTGAACTAACAGTTATTTTGTTTACGTTGTTGAAATAAAAAGATATTAAACAGCTGTATACTTTTTTCCTATATAATTTTCAGAATGGCATCAAATTTTACAAACGGAACTTCTTTAAGATTGAGTGAAATTGAATACCAGGAATTTCTGGACAGAGGGATTCCAGCTACAATCTTCCTGCTATTTTTGTCAGTCGTAGGAACAATTGGCAATATACACACAATCTTGGTATATTTGTTATCACCGATCATGGCAAAATATTCCGTTCGAGTTTTTATCATTTGGCTTGCCTTTATCGATCTAACAGCATGTTTGTTTTGTATGCCTTTTGAGATTTTTGATATTAGATACAACTACACATTTTCATCTGTAGGTGCTTGCAAATTCTTTAGATTTCTAAATCACATTGTAACAGTTGCCTCCGGCTGTTTATTGACTTCAATTGCTATTGAGAGATATAGGAGTATTATCAAAAACTTGCCCGTACTATTTGCTAATTCACAGAGATCGACTGTCATATCTGCCAGTCTGGTAGGATTATCTATGATATTGTCAATTCCTGCAATTATATTGTATGGTCTGAACGAAAAAGAAACATCTATGTTCGGCCGGACCACAAAGGATTGTAGAATTTTATCAGAATATCACAGTATACTTAATGTAGGAGTTTATTACAGTATATTAGTAATTATAGGTTCAGTTGGCACTGTCATGTGCATCGTTTCATATGGAAGAATACTGTGTAAAATTTGTACTCGGAAAGATTGGAGGGAATCGTTAGGAAAGAAAACAGATTCGTCTTCCAATTTATCTTCGGAGACTACCAAAGTAATATCTACTATTCAAAACGGGGAGGAAAAAATAATGAAAGTACACATTGAAAAGAAAAAGGCTACTCGTTCATCACACAATCTTGGAAATGCGATTCAACTAACAACAAGCCTCATGATAGCAACCGCTATTTCCTATATAGGATATATGTTGCATGTTTTCACAGATATAGTCAAAATGCTAAATCCTAAGATGTATCAAAATATTGTCCGACAAGTATCCCAAATTCTATTGCGCGGATATTTTGTTAACAATGCAGCCAATCCCATCGTATTTTGTCTTTTGGATAGAACTTTTCGACAGGAATGCTTGAAATTGTATGGAAAAACATTTTGGAAGAAACATTAATCGCCGGCATACCACTGATGTTACTTTCAAACACAACTTGATAAAAAGTGTTTTTTAACATTTGTTTATGAGAGAATGGCAAAAAAGGGTATAATATTTTGCGAATGGCGTACGTGCGATTCTCATTGCTTGAACTTTCATGTATGCCAATTGGTATGTCATGTTAAATATTCACATATTACAGCTCCGAATGGAGCAAAATATGAGGAAGACAGCGGAATAAAACAATACAAGCTGACTTAATAAAATTGACTGAACATTATCTCATGCCTTTAAAGTTTGACAATCACATAATTATGTTGTTCAAGGGAGTCTGCTGTATAAGTAACTATATCATATCAGTATGTATGGAAGTATTATTGTAACATATATTAGTATGGGGAAAGTGTTTTGAGTTAATTCTTACATGTTTATGCCCATGTCTGAAAAGTGTATTAAATTTTACAAAAAATTTTCAAAGATACAAAGATTTGGCTTGAAAAATAAGCTATGACAAAACTGTAATACAAACAGGATATCACATCAAGCGTTTTAGTGTGATTACGTTTATGGAGCCCGTGAAATTAAATACCACCCATGTAAATTCATTGATCTTTTTAATACATTGATTCTTTGGTTATCAATTTAACAGAGTAGTAAAATACCTGAAATTTTGTTTAAATAGAATAAAACATAACTAAAGATGTATAACAATACAGTTATGAACAATTATGGTCCTACTTCCTGTCGAGATTTATATATTGTCATTGCAAAAGATCATCTCTTAAAGCCAGTTTATGACGTCTTTACACTAAATCGGTTGGATGTGTACTGACTGACACTTGTTTGGAACACTTAAGATATTTACTAGTTGTGGTTGACTTTGAACTAGCATTCAGTAACTGAGAGTTATCTCACATTGGTACTTTGTGTGTCTTCTGTCATTTTTATACTTGTGTTTAGTGTTGCGTGTCGATCTGAATAGTAAATCCCTTTCCAACTGTTTAAGCTGTTTCTTCGTACGTAATGTAAATGTTTGTCGTTGTTGGCTGTCTGTCAGATCTGTTTTCGTTAGCTATTAAATCATACAGTTAATTTCAGGCAAGGATATTATGTCGGCCTACATTTTATAGCGACAGAAATTTGTTATACATGCTTATGAATGCATAAAGCCAAATGTAAGCTTCTGTCGAAATTGTAATTGTATCTATGCATTGCAGATTCTACCTTAGATCATGGACAAATTCTATTTTAAGAATAGTCAAGACCATGTAGAAGATGATTGATCCCGGTCTTTTCAGTCCTGCATCGATAGGGAGTTTACAAAATATGAAGACAATTACTTAGATTCGGAAGTTTGATGAAATACAAACTATATTAATTTGTATTAGATATGAAATAAAACCAATATTTAACGACCCCGTTGCTTTCTATGTTAAATTATCCAATGTAAATCATTCAAAGGCCTTAAGTTCAATTGAAGCGACAGTCATTCCATGACAGTATTGACATTCTGGTTACTCTTGCTGGAAAAATCAACACACCTTTAATTAAATACAAGAGCGCACGGACAAGTTCGGTAGTACAATAACAGGTATTTCAGACCCGAGAAACAGTTATATGTTATCCTGGTTCAATTTCGTACAATATTGTTATGATTAATACAATCGTTCAACCATGGTCCATAATGATTCCCATTCCTTCAACTTTCATTTGATACCGAAATCACCCACATGGTTTACATATATCAAAAATGACAGCTAAGCGTAGAAACAAAATAGTTTTGATTTATGGACTACTTTCTTGTATGTTCTTTATAACCGGATTTGAATTAGTGATTCCATACCATATTTTCAGCTTTATTTGTTATCAACTTGTTTTGATTCAAAAAAATATTTAAATGCATGAATTGATTGATATCTTAAATGTTTTCCACCAAATGTATGAAAATTATTCTATCTCACAATTCAATGTATTGTGTCCACTCAACCTAACCAATTTCACACAAACCCGCCTAGATCCCTAGGTATTCGGACTGTTATCTTTTCAACAAGTACGAGTTAATCAGTCTAGTACCAAACATGGTTAATATTCATATCAGATTACATTTACTCGTCCCAACTATGTATGCAATGCGACGTAAAACAGCCAACCGTCCAGATAATTCGCGTTATTTGGCTCGTGACATGAATTGTTGCAAGATACAAAAGCATAAATAACATATTGGCTGCTGTTTAAATTAAGAACTATACAAACCGTGCATAGATACTCCTTCAAGTGAATGGAAAGCTCATTTTTGGAAAAAACAGTCATCGTGTTTTAAAGCTTTGTTCCCAATCGTTTTATGTCTCATTTCCTTGCAAAGATGCACAATATGCTGTCAATTATCTGTGGTAAAAATAAAAATAATTATCAGATGGATGTCAAACAATCTTTGACAAAACCGGAATGTAAAAAAAAAAAACGGCATCAGCACATGCAAAAGATCTTAGTAAGAGGTTAGTTATAGTATGATGCAAGGCTTTGCAATAAAATGTAAGTTCAAAATTTCATTCTGAATTAACATTTACTACTGAAGACTCCAGGGGAAATTCCTTTGGTATCTTCCGACTTTCTTCTACTTTTACATTGGTTATTAAGGTCGAATACAATTCATGACAGAACTTTGATGGAATTTTTGCTAGATCCAAAATGCATAGCATATCGGTACAGGAAAAATATCATACAAGAGAAATAATTAAAAACCGTAAAACCATTTTAATCTGCCAAATGTTACTGTAAAATATATAGAGTGACCCGATAGCCCGCCCGATGACCGCCCAACCGCCCACTCATTCACCCACACGCCGCCCACCGCCCCCAGCCACCACCGTCATAGTTAAGTACCTGACAGTAATTCTCTTGTTGTTCGATTGGAAATCGTCTTCAACATACTGTTCATAAAATCAGGTTGTATATACTAAAATTGAATTTGGACGCGCGTCTAGCGTGCAAAATTGTAGTCATCGGGTCCCTGATGGTTGATACATCTTCAACATCGAAACTTTATTAATTAGAGTACTAGTATACATGCTACAAACCCCTTCTACAAGTAATCTTTTTATGGAACGCCTGCAATAGTAGTTCTGCCCTCTCCGATAATAGAATGGCATTATGTTTCTAGGTTTGTTGGTCCGTCCGTTCGTCGGTTCGTCAGTCCATCTCTTCTTCTTATTTATCGTTCGTCTGTCCGTCAAATATCAGGTTGAATTGATGATTAGTTAAGCATTACGATGTAATCACAGAAATCTGATACGTAGTACTCATGTTCATTATGATGCGAAATTTTATAAATAATGCCAAAACACGGTTTTCAACTCCTATTTCATGATTCACTGAACATGTGACATTGGTACAAACTCATGTTAAAACTTTTCGTAAAGGGAATTTACCATGACGTCACATCATTTTGAAATTTACACATGTTCATTATGATTTGATCTACTCTATATACATTCAAAATTAAAGGATTGACCACATGTTGACAGTTCAGCGAATAAAGAAATATAGTGCGAATGGGGTATGGTGTCATATGGAAACACATTCTTATATTTAACTAACTTTAAAACCTTAAATGTGGATATTTCATTTTTCCTGTGTAGAAAAAAAAATCTTGTAGATTTCAAATTCCGCTCAATAGAAACATTATTCATTCCCATACTAACTTTTAAATAATATATTTTTTTGTTCAATTTTCTGTTGTCATTCCATAAAAGAAAATGATTGTGCCCTAAAAATATGCTATTTCACAAACAAACGGAAGAAATCCGTTCTTATATTTAACTAGTTTTTAAACCTTAAATGATGAGATTTTATTTTCCGTGTGTAAAAAAAAAGTTGTTGTTTTCAAATTCTGCTCAATAGAATCTTATTTATTCCCATACTTACTTAATGCATGTGACAACATTGCCCTTTATCTATTGTTATCATTACAATTTAAAATTTAAAATTTAATTTTTGCAGAACACAAGGAAGATATTGAGCATGTGCTGGAGATTAACTTGTAATTACGACAAATTAAGGAGTGGTTTTATTGCTCTGCACTTCTGATACATTTATACGAAAATTCTGCGAAATGATGTTATCTTTTTTGGCGCCTAAACTAAGTGACGTCAAAGGTATGCCTCCGGCGTCAAACGTAAACACCGGGCGTTTTCTGGCTACTTTTCCGGCTCAAAATGTAATAAAATTCGATTAAAAGAATATATCTAGGTGCAAAATGTGAGTTTTCTGCTTATTATTGGAGAAATTACATGTCAATACATTCCAGAATTCAAAATGTCGGCTTCCTTAGTTACAGATAGGGAGGTAGAGAATTTTACGCTTATTGTCATCCAACGAAACCCATTGATACACAATAATTGCATTAGAATAACTTGTTATTACGAAAAATATAGGAGTGGTTATATTGCTCTGCACTTCCAATACATTAAGAAAAGGAAAGACAATAATGTTATCTATTAATCATCAGTTAAGAAATAATAAAAAAACATTTTATTAACCAAAAATAAAAAGCAGGAAAAAGGCAAAATTTCTAGCGGAAAACAGTATGTTAAAAATAGTTTTAGGTTGATGACATTTTTTTTTACTTAATGAAGAATGGTCGTAGTCCAAGTTTGAAAAACGTATAGATATAAAATGTTAATTATTTTTTAACGGCTGGTTTGATTCGAGCGTTAAATAATGATTTCATGTAGACGAAATGCTTTTCTGGCGTATTCAATAATTAACCTGATATATTTGATAGTTATTAGATCGATTATTTACTTAAATACTTAAAACCTGGTACTTATTCATGATGTTACTGCTCCACTTTGCTTAAATCACGAAGTATGTAGAAATAAGAGCAAGGTCGAAAAGTTTTTGCTTTAACAAAATGTGTTTTGTTGTTTGTTTGGCGACATGTCTCTCTTTAGACATTAACTTTGTTAACAAGCATTTTGAAAAGTTTGAGTTATCAATAACATTTAATATTATGAAAC